TGGTGGAATTTCATTTGCAAATATAGGTAAATGTCCTATGAAGTTACATTTGGACCGTCACTTGCAACTTGTGTGGTGAAATAAGACATCTGGATATTATTGACAACTTGCAGAGAAGATGATTTGAGTTAATGAAAATTTGAAAGAGAGCATGTTGCTGAGAATATACTCCTTTCATAAATTGTTTGCCTTTCATGCTCTGTCTTTGTTTGGGTGCCTCCCTTTTTTTTTTTTTCCCCAAAAGAGACGGTGAATTTTTGTCAATATCTGAAGCTCGAACTGAAATATATTCAATGAAGAAGAATTTCTGGTTCTCAAGTAGGAAAAGGTTACAGCAGAAAAGAAGTTTCTGGTACATGGTTTTTACTGCCAAGATTAAGATATCAAGAAAGAGAACTTGTAGACTTCAGAATATCTCTTTGCACCGTTCACCCATGTCACATTTTATTTTTAAAATTGAATGGGGAACGATTTCTTTCCATGTTTGTTTGACTCCTCTATGAATTTATTTATGATAATTGTATGTTGGTTTATAAGGGGGCAAAAGCAGGAATGAGTTGCAAATACCTTTATGAAGGGAAAATTTTCAGCTTCTTCTATTCTTATTTTCTCAGCACTTAGTGGATCTACATATCTTAAGCATTCTGATTTTTTTATGCAATCAATAGTCACATAGTATTATTATATTTTTGGCCTTCTAGGGGGGGGGGGGGAGAGAGAGAGAGAGAGAGAGGGGTTCTAAGCGAATATATTGATGGGAAAATTATCCCATATTTTGCTTATTGGAAAATTTAGAAAGAGATAGAGATAGAATTTGTAAAAGAACACTTTGATGAGAATTAAGCCATTAAATATATATTGTTATACCATATTTTGATGCTGCAAAGAAAAAGAAACTGAGTGGTCTTAGAAACAGTGATTAAAAGAGTGTCTACTCATTTGTTGTGCTATACTGATGTTATCACTTTTTCTTTTTGTGCTTTTTTAATCAGTCCTAGTTAAGACTTTGTTATATGGTGGCTGAGGTTTGAGTGGAGATTCTTTCAGTATGAGCTTCTTATCTTTTGTTTGTAATTTCTTTTAAATATGATATGTCTAAATTTATGAATCGTTGTTATAATTTCGGGATCAGAATCTTGTCACTAGACGGTTAACAACAAAGTCATCTTCTAACAAAAGATTAACGCGCTTATTCTTATTACGAGAGCGGCTTGTTTTGTGAAAATAGATTACTCATCAAAGGGAATTGCTATCTTGGATCTTATTAGAGAACTCCAATTTCGTAGTTTAAAATAATATTCTGATTTATTTTTATTAGTAGTAAACATCTCCTTTTATATAGATGTTATAATTTTTATTTAAAAATTTTAATTTAATTAGAAATTTAAATCTAATTAGAAATATTATACTAAAATATTAAAAATTTTATACTATTTAGAAATTCAATACTAATGAAAAATTACATATTATTTAAGAATTTAATACTAATTAGTATTTCAACTATTTAGAAATGTAATACTAATTAGGATTTCAACTATTTATAAATTTAATAATAATTGAGATTCCATCTTTAATTGAACTTCAACTTCCTATTTAGTTGTTGTCTGACCTTCCATGTTTATGCCCTACAAATGCATCCGTAACATTGCTCCACTCCTGGTTATCAAGTTTGTCCTCAAGTTTGAAATGTGGATATAATTGACACGGTTGGTCTGTTTTTGTTGTCCAGTGTCGCATTCAATCTCGAGGCAGAATAACTTTTTACATTGGTGACTCGAAACAAACAACTCATCGCAGTTATAATACAATCCCTTTAGCCTCCTTTCTGTCATCTCTGCTCTTGTTAGTTTCTTTATAATTGGAGAGAAAACATTATCAAATTGTGTCGTAATGTTGCTATCATGTAGAATTGGTATTTTCTGAACTGAATTGTTAGACTTAGTCACAGACTGAGAAAGGTTACTATAATTATGTTTGGTCATAATCCACAACTGTTGTTTCCTTTCAAAAACTTTGACCATACTCATTGCGTGCACGAGAGTGATGGGTGATGACATCTCAACCTTTAAACGGAGAAAGTCAATTAGTCCTGCTGTTGACAAACTTACATGCGGATAAACTCAACCAACTCCGTCTATTTCAAGTTTATCAATTTTGCCAATGGTTTACTTCCGGCTGGCGGCCTAAATCTCAGAGAATAATAATTTTTGAATTCAATTCAGTTAAGTATAAGTTGTTCATATTCTAATTGGTGGTACCACAACTGTAGTGCTCCAAGCATATGGAAGGCAATCAATCCCACTTTATCCCATTATGGTGTGTGTTGGTTGGTAAAACAATTTCTTACACTGATGCAACCATATTAGGGGATCTTTAGATCTATCTAATGTTAGAAAGTCTAACTTAGTGTAGCGAAGAACAATTCTGTTACCTGGAGGGTTGTTTGCATTTTGCGACTGACTTCCGGTATGAAGTGCTTGAGGTGGCTCTTCTCGGGGGTGGTTGCTGCTTGCAGTCTCTTCTAATTCTGTTTGTCTGTTACGATTAAAATCGGTCAGTATTTCTTTAAATTGTGAGGACAATTCCTGCAACTGGCTGCTCAATCGCTTTTCAATCTCTGCGGTCTGTGTCTTGTTTGCGGTTAGGGATTCTCGGGATATCAATCGTAGATCTTCTTTTGTTGTAGAGTCACTAATTGTGTAAGACTCTGATACTAATTTGGTATGATTACGGGATTAGTATCTTGTCATTGGACGGTTAACAACAAAATCATCTTCTAACAAAGGGTTAATACTCTTGTTCTTATTGTAAAAGCGATTTATTTTGTGAAAATAGATTACAACTTATCAAATGGAGCTGTTACTTTGGATCTCATTAGAGAGAGCTCTAATTTATAGTTTAAAATAATATTAACTTATTTTTATTAATAACAAACATACTTTTTTATATAAATATTATAATTTTTATTTAGAAATCTTAATCTAATTAAAAATCTAAATTTAATCGGGCATATTTTGCTAAAATATTGGAAATCCTATATTATTTAAAAATCTAATACTAATGGAAAATTACATATTATTTAGAAATCTAATACTAATTAGAATTCTAACTATTTAGGAATTTAATATTAATTAAGATTTTAACTATTTAGAAATCTAATACTAATTAGGATTCCATTTTTAATTGAATTTCAACTTCTTATTTGGTCATTGTCTTGCCTTTCATATTTATACTCTACAAATGCATCCATAACAGTCGTCATCTATTTGTTATTCTCATCCTTTGTCATGATGGTATGTTTAACATAAGGTGTCCATATGTGTAAGGTGTAAAACTCTGTAACATCATCTCAACATTGCTTTATGATTAAGCTTTCCTGATGCTAGAGTCTTAATAATAACACAGCAGTTTTGTGCCTCAAGGTTTATGCTAGGACGTCCATATTATTCATAATAAGTGTTTTTAATTTAAATTCCTCAATAAATGCTAAAATGTATTATGTGGTGAATATTATTGAACAATAGTGTAATAGCACCATACAAGAGTTACAATACTAGAAGTGTATGATTAAACTATAGAGTTAGACCCATCTGCTAGCTGTGATGTAACAACATAACAACATATAGGACCATAAATGATTAAACCATGTAGACATCAATGCCTCGTAAAGATGTTGATTAACTCAGTTTGACTAGCAACGATGCAAACAATTAATAGACCACGCTACAGTTTCTTAGGAACAAAGTGAATGCCAAGCTCTATATGTTTGGGCCTGCATGATTAAACAAACTAGACGCCATATAGGTTGCACTAATGTTATCACAATAAATAGGTGGATTCTTAGGCATATATTAGAGTTTGGACAACATGTTTTGCAACCAACTAATATTAGAAACTGTAGTGGCTATAACAACAATATTCAACTTTGGTGCTTGAGTGAGACATTGCAGTTTGTTTCTTACAATATCTCGTGGTTGAGCTTCTAGTATTCAAGTAACATGCCCAATCTACATCTTTAGCCAATTGTCCCAATCACTTGGAAAGCATCCTCTGCATAATATCAAGTTTTGGCCCTAGGTAAACAACTTATCAATTATGAGATAAGGAGAGTTTGAGTACAACGATAGTGGCACTCGGAACCAATTACTAAGGAGGCTGTAGACTCCTCTATACCTACCATTTCTAGTGTCGATAAAGGATTCACCTTTGCATGGGATAGTTCTCTCTGAATACAACCAGTCTCCTTTATGATCTTCTCTCTCTCACTTTGTTTTAGACCATAAATTTTACAACATGGTATAAGAGCAGTTGCCCTTTATTGCTACTTAGGATCCTCTTCTCTCCATGAAATCGCCAGTTAGAGTTGCTGGTTGTGCTTTCTTCTCTGCAGTTTAAAGTAGAAAACACTCAGGAGTACTGGGCCTTTT